TAAAGACACTGCAAAATATTTAGAAAACCTGACAATAAAACCTCCAGTTCAGTGCTTAAACTTTCTAAGTGATAGGCTTCCTCAAACTTGGAATCTTAATTGTATTGTATAGACTCTTCTCGATTTTAATCTACCCGTTTATAGACCCCGACTGTTTCCCTAAATTCTGATGAAATAATGACCTTACCAACATGTTGGAATGGCAGGGGGGCGTATGCGGCAGAAGGCTGAGGCTAATAGGGCTTAGTCCCCTTAAATGTGGGCCAGCAGGGGATGCTAGGCAGCTTGGGTGCAGGCTCCAGGCAGCTGCAGTGGTGGGGGGAGGGGTGTGCACAGATGCAGACATGTAGCTGTAGCCTGCAGCAGCCCAGTAGCATATAGAGCATGCCTTGGGGTGGGGGGGGCGGCCAGATTGAGGCCTCTGCGGTGAATGAGGCCTCAAGTTGGGTTGTGGGATGCTCAGAGTCTGGGCAGCTTATCCAGGGGCATGGAGGGGGTGGGCTCCCACCACTGTGCAGGTGGAGGCCTAGAGGAACGTGTGCCCCCTGGATCTGTGTGCAGGGTGGAGGCCGGCTGCCGCTGGGGGCCTGGCTCTGCCCCAGTGTCCCAGGAGCAGTGCGATGCCATGTGCTTTCCACGGGCTGACTGCACCACATCCCCTTCCTGCCCAGCGGTGGCAGGCACATAGCATTGCACCACTCTGAAGGCAGCAAGACACAGAGCCCAGCCTGCAGCAGCATCCCACCTACACCCTGCGCTCACATCAAGGAGGTATTCACACCCCTGGACTTAGCCACTCGGGCTCCAAGCATCCCATGCCCCCCACCCCTTCCACCTCAACAGACTTACCTGCCTGGGGGGAAAGGAGGGGGGTTGTGCACATGTGCTCAGTCCTGCCCCCCCCAATAATATTTTCTCCCTCCACTTACGCAGGAGGGTCGGGGGGGAGTGAAGTGAATTGAGGGTTGAGAATATACCACAATGCCTTACCTGCTTCTCTTTAGCTTGACTGTCCTCTGGTCCAACTGTGGCTGCCTAGTGGATGGTGGAGGCCTGGAGGTCTCAGGTGGTCTCAGAAGTAAATATATGTTGAACAGTTGAAGTTTATCTAAAACCAACTTCTAGGAGTCTACCAGGAAGTTTGCCTGAGGCTAACGCAGTCAGAGTTGTGATGCTGTAAGCACTCTGTGAGGAAAAAGTTCTTCTGCCCTAGGTTCAATGTCTTGCATGGACACTGCATGACATCATGGCCACAACAGCACTCCAATTCTAATGTGGGATGACATTTCAGAATTCTGCATGTTACATTCTCCTTTGTAGGTCAGCATGATGTAGCTGACTTATGAAGGATGAAACTACCTTTGTGCCTTAAGTGCCTAAACACAGGCTTTATCAGAACTGGTCTTGAATCCTAGTTGAGACGGAGGCCTGCCTGGCTGGCAACACTCAAGAGTTGATCAGAATTAAAGAAGTAAATTTAAAGGAGTCACTGTGTCCATATGCTCTGCATTCAAGTAGGATTTAATTCAGTTTGGCTTAATGCATTTCCAAAATTGGGTCATTTCAATTCTAAAACAAAATATCTGCACAAGAATTTAATGCAGACTAATTTGCTTTAAAAGCTACACTAGATTAATTTTCTCTAATGTATATAATGAAATTTGGATATCTGCCAAAATTTGTTACTGTTATCAGACTTGTTCACAGCAACATGACTGCAACAGTCCTAAGCAATGCCTTGGAAATAGACCCGTTCACTTTCAGAACTGGAGTAAAGCAAGGATGTATGATTGCATCAACAGTGGTTTCCATCTATGCCAGAGCTATTGTAACTCTCATTGCTGATAAACTTCTGGAGTCAGCATCCAGTATCACATGGATGGGAATCTCTTTAACATCAACTAGTTACTTTCCAAAACCAAGATAACCAACACCTCCCATTACTGATCTTCAGTATGCTGACACTTGTCATATGTACCCACTTAGTTGAAGAGTTCAGTGTCATTCTTGGTTGCTTTGTTGAAGTGTATGAAATGGTTCAACTCATTGTCAACTTCATGAAAACTAAGATTCTTTACCCATCCATCCCAAACCAACTAGCTGTTCCTCCACACACAAGTTAGAAGGCAACTTTTGGAGAACGTTGAGCATTTCCCCTACCTGGGTAGCTACTTTTCCCAAGAAGTAATAGATGACAATATTCAACACTGGATAAAATTTGCTGGGACTGCTTTTTGATGTCTTCAAAATAGTGTCTTTAATCATAACATCAGTACCATTATTGCAATAAAGTAAATCCTTGTATAGCTGAGGCTTTGCTGTGAAGAAATTCAGCCACTAGGAAATTCTAAAATTTAAAGCTTGGAGGCTTTAATTGGGAGGAAAAATTCTAGCACAGCTTAAACTGAAAAAGCAGTCATAGAACAATAAGAAAGTAGGGCGGGCAGGGACCTCGCAAGGTACAGGTTTCTCTCAATTTTATGAGAGTTCTTTATATGTGAATTTGCTCTTATGAAATGAGCATATTTAGATCCATAATTCGTTATATGCGAGGTAATTTCACTATTATGCAGTAGGTCTGTGGGGGGAGGGGAAAGGGCTGTGGCCGCACTCACTCCAGCCCCGGCTGCCTGCAGCCGCTGGGCTGCACTGTGCTCTGCCTGTCCCCACTCACCCCAGCTCCTGGGCTGCGCCATGCCCTGGTGCAGGCAGCTGGTGTCAGCTGCTCCTGGAGCCACTCCAGCAGGGTCTTTTGTGTCTGTCCAACCTGGTCTTGAAAATATCCAGGGGTGTAGATTCTCCAAGTAGCCTTTTCCAAATGCTTCGTCAGAAATTTCCTCCTAATCTCCAATCTAAACTTCATTTCCTGCAGCTTGAGGCCATTTTCCCTAGTCCTGCCCCTTATTGACACAGGTGTCTCTCTCTCTCTAATCACCCTTCAGGTATTTAAAGACTTAGTAAATTCCCCCTGGCCATCTTGTCTCGAAGTTACTGAAGATCCCTTGTTCTTTCAGCCTGTCCTTGTAAATCGTGCAAGAAGAGCATGCTGTTGGCTTATTCAGTTTATGGTCCATTGTAACACAGAAGTCCTTCACTGTAATACCGTAGCCTAGCCAGTTGTTTCCTCTGTATTTATGCATGTGCATATAATTATTCTGTCCCAAGTGTAGGACTTTGCACTTATCCTTGAATTTCATCTAACCTATTGCAGACTTTCTCCAGTGTATCCAGGTCATTCTGGATCCTAGCTTTGCCCTCCATAGTGTTTGCAATTCCACCCAACTTGGTGTCATCCACTTTATCTCATCTAAATCATTGATGACGAAGTTAAACAATACTGGACCCAGGGCAGACTCCTAGGGAACCCCACATTATACCTCACAACACGTATGCTGCTAAAATCTTTTAAACACTTTTTGTTTGTATGCTAGCTCAGCTGGTTGCTGATAAGCTTCTATCTTATAGAGAACCTGGAAAATTTAAATATTTTACAAAACGGGGAGTTATGCATCTTTTATATCTAAAGCCCTGGGGTTATTTTTAAGGTTCCAAGACAAAGCAATCTACAGTTGAAAGAAGTCATTTTAGCTTTGTAACAACTCTGCCTATCATCTAATCAGCTTCATGTTTAAAATTCAGCTAAGTCTTCAGTGCCTGAATGAACCATTTTTTGTTTTCTTGCTGTAGGCCTTGGGCTGTATCCTGTACTTGTTGTGCTTTAGGCAGCATCCATTTGAAGACGGAGCCAAGCTTCGCATAGTCAATGGAAAATACTCCATTCCTCAGACTGACACTCGATACACTGTGTTCCATGATCTCATTTGTAAGTCTTTTAAAAAAAATTTTAACTTCATTTTGAATGGTTTTGTGGGCACTTGTATCTTGTTCAGAAAACTTAGGCATCTGGAAATAAAGCAGTAAGGACTTCCCTGTTCAATGTAGGTGGGCTTCATAAATCATATGATTGTGTTTGAAATTTTTTTAACTATTTGAATTGTTTTCATCTGAGTCTAAAACTTGTTGGTGGTTTTTTTTTTTTTATTTATATATTAGGAATTGGCCATTGGAATCTTGGGAGAAGAGCAGCTTCCAGTGCCATCAATTAATATGATTTAAGATGTGGATGAATTGACTAGAAACGCTTAGCATTTTCATTCAAGTTCCTTAAATTTTTTTTTTTAAACTTCTGTTTAAAATTTCAATATGTGATTAATGGTCACAATTCTGATAAGACTTTATGTTCAGTTCAAAGGACCTTATTTTCTTGTTTTCCTCCATTTTTTTAAAATAATTTCTCCATTGTACACAGGAATTTCTTAGGAGAATGACAGTTGGGCATAGACTGGATTTCCCCACAGGTTCCCTGTGTAATAGATCATGCTGAACTTAAGACCTCTATGGTACAGGTCTTGGCAGTTGATACAACATACCTTTTTGGTACTTAGAAAGCCTAAATTGTTGCTGTTGTTGTGTAGGTTCAGCTTTGAAGGTAAATCCAGAGGAGAGGTTGTCAATCACTGAGCTAGTGAATCAATTGCAGGAAATAGCAGCTGCTAGGAATGTAAATCCAAAATCTCCAATTACAGAGGTAAGTGGGTACCATTGGGAGACGCACACTTTTTTTCCCCTGTTTAGATCAATGAAGGCTTAAAAACAGTTTTCAAAGCAGTTTGCTGACGCTTGTCAACTTTAGGAATTTTAGGTGTGTTAAGTACAGTTGGAGATTCAGTAGGGTTTGGATGTAAAACCCACTGACACTCCTTGAAAATCTCAGCCTCAGCATTCAAATATGTTAAAAGTAAACTGATAGTGGTTTTTCCTTGTTATCAGACTCTCAGAAGCTGCTTAATTTCAAATCACTTTTTCAGTAGCAACACGTTCAGTTTGACACATTCGATTGACTCTGATTTTGAGTTGAGGAGGGAAACGTAGTGTGTGGGTATGAATTGAGTTTCTGTCTATGCAAACCTCTGATGGTATATAACAGAATATTTAAGACCCCTATTGCAAACCTTGCTTGTTTTAGTGTCTTAAATTGGTGCAAAAAGATGATCTTACTTCAGTTCAGCATAAATGAATGAGGAGCAAGTTTTAACAAATCCCCTTAATTTTGCACTTTAAGTGAAATTGGTACGACTTGGCACCCCCTGGATTGTTGAATTTTCTCTGCCTGTAAGATTTAGCACAAGCATAATTTACAGCCAGTCTTTTTGGCAGATGTACCACTCTAATCCCCCTCCACTGCCTGATCTGCTGCTCTGTGCTGCTTTTCCTGTGTTCCCTACCCAGTTTCGCTCCTGTGCTGTCTGCCCTATCTGTTCCTGTCCTTTCCTAGTCTAGTGAGCCAAACACTAAGGCTGCCTGTGCTGAAGGTTAGCCACCCCTCATTTATACAACTTAGGCTGCAAACATGTGTCACCTTTGTGCTACCATAAAAATTGTGCCACAAAACTTAAGTGAACAGATGTTTTGGCCCTTGCCATGACACTAGTCCATAATTTGTACTGCCTTTTTGTGGCTGACCTGTGTTTATTGTGGAAACTCCTGGGGCTTCAGGAGCCCAATCCTGTTGGGCAATGTCCCCAGGTGCATAAGCATGATATGCACACCATGGGAATCCCCTGCAGGTGATTCCAGGGACGTTTGTCTATAAATGGGCAGGTGGAAACTTACATTGGCAGTGTTTCTTGTTGTTGTGCCCCAGCAATCCTTTGCAGATGGAATCCCCTAATATATATATTATGCTGCTGCACTCTAGGTTGGAATATGGTCTTTGAACACGGAAGGGGAAATCCCTATGGGAGGTCACCTCTCTGTTCTTGCAGATATGCACTGGGGTAACCTCTGAAGGGGGGGGGGTTACCCCTATACTGTGACTGAGGGGGTGAGGGAGGAGGGGTGTACCTGCAAGTGGACCATTTTCCCCTCACGGTTCTGGCACAGTTGATTTGTGCTCCAAAGATGATGTCTGTTTCCAACCTTGGTCTTCCTTTTATATTCTGCATGAATTTCATTCATGCCTGCTCTAACATAAAATAACTTAATTTAGATTAAAATTTGATTTATTACTGTTGCCGTGAGGAGCAACTGTTCCTCCCCATTTTAAAGCCTCCCCAAATTTATGTTTTTCTGTATCCTGATACATTGCCTTTTATTTCTCAAATTTTTTGCTGGAACTCTTGCTGTCATCAGGATCTTGCTAGATGGCTGGGTCACTTGCTTGCCTACCTACAAGTTAAAGGAATTTTTCTGAACGGACAGTTTACAGCTTACGTAAGCTGTAATGGACAGCTTAAAAAAAATGAAGTCATTGTTGGAGACATTTTGGAGATCTTGACAAGTGCCTAATGTAGTAGCATATGGAATGTGGGCAATATGTTTCTGCAGGAAAAAAAAAAGTTGTCTTGCTAATAGAACTACGAGGAGCAACAGGATATACCTGGAACTATGTGAATAATAACAGGATGTACCTGAAAAGTGACAAATAGACAGTGTCATAATTCAAAAGTCATAGAATATTGCTTCTCTTCTTTGTGATGCAAAGAATGTATCTCCAATTTCTTTTAGTAGTTTTAAATGGCAACATTGGACTCTGATGAACAATATTCAGCTACCATTTTGCAAAAGTGTTCTTAAATAATGCAGTTTGTATGTAAAAGTTCAAAAAAATTCTAATGGATATGAATCTCTGCAGCTCTTAGAGCAAAATGGAGGCTATGGAAACAATGCTCAACCTCGACTGTCTACAAACTCAGTGTTGCAGAACTCTAAACCTGCAGGACAACTCAATAATGTGTACAATGCAGGTATGTACTAGAGTGGCCGCCTCTTTCAGATGCCCTAAAATGCATACTGTGTGTTGCATGTGAAAACAAACTTTGAGTTGGTGAAGCATGAAATAGTCTTTAGCAGACATGTGAACCTCTGAGTGATCTGCTGTTAAATATCTTGCTTCATAAAAATTAAAAGAATTAACTTAGCCTAAGTTTCTAGCAGGTTTGAATATTGCTTGTGAAGAGTGTAATTTTCTGAATTTATTCCTTTTTTAGACTTTTTTAAAAGCTGACTATGAATTTTCTCCTAAATTCTTGTTGGGTAAGAGAAGGCTTGACTTAGTTTGTCAGTTTTTATGCAGTAGTTGACATTTGGGCGCATCTACATGTGTGCTTTAATGTGCATTAGTCTATTTCACTGCACATTAAAGCATCACTAAAAACATGGGGCATTTTTACATGTGCTTTGAGATGTGGTGCCAGGCGCTTTAATTACCAAGCTGCACTAATTAAAAGTGTCCGCACATCACACACATCAGTGTCCCCATACTGAAAATGCCGGTGGGGTGCTTTGAACTAAAGCTTATCAAGTGTGTTTATTTCAAAGTGCCCTACTGCCACTTTTTCAGCACAGGGATGCATGTGGACGCCGATGCACATGACGTGAAAAGTTGCTGGAGAGCATCAATTTCCATGCTTCAACAGACTTAATTTAATCAAGTGTGCTCCGACGCACTGGATTTCTAGTGTGTCGGAGCAGGCTCCCCACATGTCTGTAGGAGCCCATGCTTTTTAGTTGATGTGCATTAAAATAGGCTAATGTACATTAAGTGTCTCTTAAAAACCATGCTCTTTAGTTAATGTGTATTAAGACAGACTAATGCTCATTTTCCTAGTACCTCAAAATGGAAGTACTAGATTTAATGTTAACTAACTGAAGCATGTTAATGCATGTGTAGACATTCCCATTGAGTATCAGTTGCTGATGTATGGAAGAAAACAATTTGAGTAAGTCATTTTCATAAAATTGCAGTTTGTTTATGTATACAAAGAACGTCAGAGCTTTTTAAAAAACAATACCCGTTACAGCAAAATGTAATAAAATATCAATTGGAATATACAGTAAACACAAACGTAGATTGTGTTAAGGGTAATCTTACCCAAACTCAAATGGAAACTTCTGTTTTAAAAGTATTCTATAAGACGAGGAAAAGAGCTTATTTGAACTTCACTTGTTGTAAATAGTCTTCGTCCCATGTGTTGATTTGAAATCTAAATTTGTGATAAAGCCCCCAAAGTCCATAGATAACAGATTTATGGTAGAAATTCAGGTTGAGTGGGAGGGTGACATTTTTCATGAGTGTTCAGGATAAAATCATGCTATCAGACTTTGCATTATAAGAGTACAGCCCTTGTGTGTGTGTGTATGTTGGTTTGTCATCATCATCCCCCCCAACCTGTATTTTGCAGCTAAATATTGATCTGCATTTTATGAGCATGAATCCTTAAAAATTTAGTTCACCTTAAATAGATACTTCCTTACAGCATTTCGGTTCTTCTGAGTTACTTTTACCCATTTGGTAGGCAGCTTATGGGGAACAAAATTTAAAATAATGTATGCGATGGGGAAATTCTTAAAGGCAAATTAGTGTACTAGTTTGATTAGTATAATGTTCGTCACATCCTTATGTTTCTGGGATGACTCCAGCCCTCTAAGTGGAATGCTGTGGTCACTTGGCTCATGCAGGTTTAAAGTTTTATTTTTTATAAATAGTATTAAGCTGCTTACCAGCAGATTTTGTTGAAAAGAAACTTTTAGTATCCCAGGTAACAAGTTTAGCTTTCTGGAGTGCAAACCGGTATTTCCAAGAAACTATACAAGATGGTGAAGTAGGCTTTCAAATGGTATGGTGCATATTAGAGGGATGATAGTAAATGAAGAGGCATACTACAACTTAAACACTGATACAACAAAGGTACATGGGCCCAGTCATTTGATTTAATTTTTCTTTTCAGAAAGGAATACAAAATGCTTAAGTAGTGAGATGGCTTGTAGTGTCTATAAACCATCTTGGTTCACTACACAGAGAAACTGCGTTGTACAGTTCAATTTCCAGAAGATGGAGGCTTTGTTCCAGCCCCATGAATGCTAGGATTCTGTTGGTGTGTTCACCTTAAGCTGTGTGGTCACTTCACTTTGGCTTTGTCACTTGAAGAGATCTGGAAGCACGGTTCTCTTAAATGTAGGCTTTCATTTTAAATTGTGATATTACGATTTTGCTTTATAATTTCAGGCCTGACAGTTGCAGAATGTGACCAGTCATATGGAGGATTCTTTGATATTCTTAAGGGTGGAACAGAAAGATTTTTCACTAATATCAAGGATACTTCTTCTAAAGTCATCCAATCTGTGGCCAAGTAAGTGGGCAAAAAAAAAAAAAGCTTTGCTGATGAAGTTTTAATATGGAAAACAAAAAGTCTCTTGTTTGATGCATTTAGTAATAAACAGGTACAAATCCATGAGATGGAAGTGCTAGAGTGTTAGTGCTTTTTATTGCATTTATGGGATTTTTTTGTGTATTGCATTTAGAATGTATTGGCTTATTATGGTGATTGTATCAGAAATTAGAATAAATTTCCTAGAATATTAAGGGCTCTCACTGTCATTTCTAGTGCAGCCAGTCTCATGGTGGGTAGATAGTCCATAGCTCTGTCTTCCCTTTCCTGTTTTTCTCCCACTCCCCCCCCCCCCCCCCCCCCCCTTCACATGTGTACAGATAAAATGAACAAAGGCATGTTGCTTGGAGAGTTGGGAGGAATGTCATGAATAATGAGGGAGTTATGAAGCAGAGACAAGAATGAAAGGAGCAGCAGGAACAGAGGAATAAATAGGGTAGGGAATCAACGTGGGAGGATTTTTTTTTTTTTTTTTTTTTAAGTTGAGCACTGCTAGGCAATAGTATTCCACAAAGGAAAAAGCTGGAGGAAGTCTTTCTCAAGATGGGGAATCCCAACACTCCTTGGAAGACTCTTCAAGTCTATGTTGATCCTGATTGATAAGAGAAAAGAGAAGCTTGAGTATCAGGAAAAGATCCTCCCTCTCTTCTCTCCCCAATCCAACCCAATCATGTGTTCTGCAGAAAATTCTCTCCTGCTCCAGTGTTTACTCATTTACACAATTACCATACATTATAATAGTCCTCCTTGTTGGTAGTTCAGTCGAGCAGTGTTTCATTTTGACATTTTGTAACACCTACCCCTTCCCCCGCCTTTTTCAGAGCCATTTCTATTTTGTTGCTTTTCTGCATTTTTTTCAGTGCATCTTTATCTTTGAAACTCAGATGTTTTAAGGCTTGTTTACATTTATAGTGGTCTACCCAACCCAGGAAAAACGGTTTCCTGCTTTCTCTGTACTCTGTGTTTCACTGAGTTCCCCACCCCCTTACCTTCTTGGCCACATTTCGTGACAAGACCACACGTTTGTTTAATGCTCACGTTTTAAGCTGTTACAACACTATTGCTTCAGAAATGCCTCTCTTTTGTTAATGTCTATATGAGGTTACTTATCCAAGTACCATATATTATTAAGTGGCTCTTAGACCAGACAGAATTTGATTTTATTTTCTTGTATTTAGTTTCTCCGGATTCCTTCTGGCTTTCATTTCTGTAGGGAATGGCAAAACTTACTTTTTGTTTTTGTTTCATAAGCTTGAAAGGGCAAATGCAAAGCAGAATTCCTTTTTCCTCTGTATAGACCTCTTTTTAAAGAGAGGTTTTTTTTTTTCTAATTAAATGGTCTTTTCCCTCTTTGGGTGGTCTGGGTGGAGATGTCATACCTAGCTGCAATTTGACCCATGGCTGCAGCTGATAAAGCTTCCTTAATCATTATCACTTTCATTTTCTGTCCCATCAGGAAAAATTGCCAATTTCTGAGTTGGTGTCCTGGACCTTTTTTAATGCAGGGTTAAGTAAACAAACTGCTTACTTGACTGGTTTCTCTGGGACCAACTCAAAAGTACAAAAAGGTGAAGTACAGAGTATCATAATTCCCAATCTTTAGGTACCAGTGAGGTAATAAGGCAAGAATTACACCATATGAAGATTGCCAGACTGTCTTGTTTATTTTGCCCCCCC